CTAAAATTAAATGTTTACAACAAAATGCCGTTTCGATTTAGAATATAACAATGAGCATACAATTTACTGGAATAATATTAATAGATATCAAACAATGCCAATAGAGGAAAAGGATAACAAGGTGTGATAGCTTTAAGTAACATGAATCCACTAATCTAAAATATGGAGAATCTAAAAAAGCATTTTAGTAAATCATGCAAACTCTGAAGGTGAATTTCAAAAAACAGAATAGTGCTTCTTTTTTTTTTGCATCATTAGACAATAGCAATATCAATGAAACTTCAAGGAGGAAAATGCCAAAATAGTCCCCTAACTATTTTCATGGGGGTCATTTTAGTCCTGCATCTTCAATTATGAAGAATATTCCTTGTTCTTATATTACTCAATTACAATAAAACAAAATAACAATAGCAAGGAACAAGATCGTTTTCATCATTACAATTATATTTGCCACCTTTATAGCTGCTGAAATGGGGATGAGAAGAACGCATTATCTATTTTTGTATCATATTTGAATCAACAACACTTTCATACCCTATAAGTAAAAAAAAAGAACTTTCAAAAAACAGCACAGCATTCAAAAACAAATAGCATGACAATGTAACAATTCATTTCAGTACAACAATAGGATGAAACCTCTATTAGCTTCATGAACATCCATTTCATTGAATGCTGTAAAATCAAAATTATGAATTGAGAAAACTGTCTTGCTGTATTAGTTCAAGAGGAGAAATGAATATATTCATATGGTAATTTATTACCCAATCTACTTCTACTACAGATCAAGAACAGCTTCATTATATTAAAAATATGGTTTTATTTCAGATATTTCAAAAAAACATAAAAGTAAACATTACATTAACTAAAACAAAAAAGAGCAGATTGAACACAAATGTTATAATCCTAAGTATTTTTGATAAAGGATTTACTTGATGTGCCATGAACAAACTTCTATCAAGCATAATCTCAAAGCATTTTTGAAGAGGCAGCCAAGTATTATGAATGATTGGCTATAAATGAATCATCATACTTGCCATTGAAAATTCCTTGGCATAAAGACCAAAAAAAAGGCATAAGTTCATATGCCAGCAACCTTTGGTCACAAATAATAAAAAAAAAGAGGAGAAAAAAATCAAATTAATGTTAGTTATCCTTCCTATTGCAATTCTTACTAATCAGAAAACATCCAGATACATACTTCTAAAAAGGTGATTCTCCAAACTTCCACGAGGCATAAATTCATATGTCAGCAACCTTTGGTCATCTTCAATACAATACCCAATCAACTTAACTAAATTTGGATGAAAAAGCTCACCAAGAAAATAGACTTCAGTCTGCAAGCCACAAAGGTATTTTATATCTAAATCAACGGGAAGTCAGAAAATGGGGAAATATGAGATAAAAGCCATGACCAGTGAGCCAAATACAGGAGTTAATAAGAGAGAAGCCATGAATAGTGAAAATAAAAAAAAATAAAAAAAACAAAAATTTTTAACAGTAACTGGCTTCACACGGGGGGGGGGG